GAATTGTACGATTTCAAAGTTTACAAACAATACTGTACAAGACATTCGATCGCTTGTTAACAAATTTATTAGAATATTTCCATGAGAACAATAACAATATTATAATATTTATATACTACATATCTCTCTATATATTTACGTATATATATATTATTTATATATTAAACAATTTACGTTGATGAGATCAGAGAAACTACGAAATTCAAGACCTCGTTAAATCATGTAACTACTAAAGTTAATACGACCGCGACTAGATCGTCGCTCGTAAGAAGGTAACCTAGCGCGGTACTATTCGTCGACGTCGAATAGTTTTGCTATAACGTCGGGTTTGTCGAGGCGATCGCTACAGGTAGGATTCATTGTGCCGGTACGAATACAGAGGCAATCGAACTCTTTAACGATCGATCGTTCGACGCGCGTTTTCCCTGTCTCGTTTTGTTCGTCGCGTGTCGTTTCGTCGTGTTTTTCGACTTTGATGTACGTCACGTTCAAGGTCAACTCCTTCTCGTCCAAGATGTCCCACGGAGGGAAAATTTGCACGGTGCACGGAAATCTTGAATCGATCTTGCCGACGATTTCGGGAATCGTCATGACGTTGACGAGTCTGGGGAAAGGAGTATCACCCAGGGAGGGCAGTAGGTTGAACGGATCCTCGGTCGCGATTCCCTCCAGGAACTGTCTGCCGAAGCTGAACACGCATTTTCGGGCGTGAACGGTAACGTACGGTAGAGCGTGCTTGTCTTTGGTCGTCTGCTTAAAGTGGTGCCTCCATATGCGCAGGAACGATCCCTGCCTGCTGATCATCGATTGCAATTTCGCCGACAAGCTGCCTCTGTAACAACCACGGAGAAAACATTCGTGAGTCGATCGGTTTTCTTCGGGAGGCTGGAAAACGATGGGAAATCGAGAATTACTTTTTCGGCTTTTTCCTTTTCTTGGTCGATTCTAAGAGACCGAACTGCGCCGGCGGGTCCGAACGCGTTCGTCGCGGCGAGAATCCCTCGCCGCTGATAATCCCCGTTCGCGCGGACTCGTCGTTGCCCGGCGCGTTGGCCTGCGACGAGATCTGCGATATCCGTTGCGAAGGATGCGCGACGATGGAAGCGCACCGAGTTCGTTCCGCTCGCGAGAAGAACGTCCGATCGGAATCTTTGTTGGACGCTGGGGAACAGGCGGAACCGGCCGCGACGGGGATCGAACGAGTGGACGAGCTCTCGTCCATCCGAACGAGGGAAAGGGCATGCGGTTGTTGCGTGTCCTCGTCTTCTATCCGGATGCTGGGATGGTTCTCGTCGCCGCTAGGATCCGCGACGTCTTCCCTCTCGCCGTCGTCGTCGCCTTCGCGCACGGACTCGATCTCGATCTCGATTCCTTCCGCGTGTCGCGCATCCTCTGGACTTTCCTCGATGTCCAACCGTTTTTCCGAGACCGATAATTCCGATCCGGGCGAGTCTTCCGATATGTCGGTATTCTTCTTTTCTTCCGTGGATCGTCGAAGCAGCTTCGAGGCGTCCTCTCGCGAACAGTCCCCCAACTCGCTGGCGAGAACGCGTCGTTTCTGACCGCGGAATAGGTTCCCGCGAATGCTCTTGTTCGGTCTGGTTCGCTTGAACCGATAGTGGGAGGAGTTGCCGCAGATGACGGGCGAGGTGTCCGCGGTGCATGGATTCTCTCGGTTCTCGTTTTCGATCCGACGCAAAGGCTTCCTCTGGGAGGTCTCGCCGTCCACTCGCTTCCCGTTGGGTTCGCGGAAAGCCTGTCGCCCGCCGAGAACCGGCGACACGGCGGCACTGGATTCGACGAACCTGTCCGCCGTCGATTCCGACCGGAAGAGATTCCTTCGAACGTTTTCCTTTCTCTGGTCGCGCGACAGCCGATCGGCAGCGTTCTTCTCGAGCGGACGAAGCTGCTGCTGCTGCTGCTGCCCGGCAGCCGTCTGTTTCCTCTCGCGCGAGCCTTCGCGTTCGTCTTTCCTTTTGGCGCGTTTCCGGCGGTCGCACGAGACCGGGGATCGTACCTGGCGTTTGCTCGGCCTCGAAGCCAAAACAGGAGACGTCGAGGCCGACTCGTCCGAGTCGAATCGGGCCAGATCTCTGTGCGTCTCGATCCACTTGCGGACGAACTCGCCCTTCGAGGTGCACGGTATCGTCGTCACGTCCCGATCCAGCGATAACGCGCCGTCCTTTTGCCCCTGGAACTGCTTGACCACGTGTAAGGTTAGAATCGACTGACCGAAATTCAGCCGCCTGACGTGACTCGGTTTCCGTTGCTCGTAGCTCCCGTCCTCGCTGGCCTGCACCCACGTCCCCGACTCGTTCATTTTTGCGTCGTTCGACGATCCGGGACGAGATTGTTTACCCTAAAGTAACGTTGCGATCGCGACACCGAAGCGAAGCGTATACACCTGTTGCCGCCATGTTGAGGTTGCCATGGAAACACCGCGGCGGACGCGGCGCGCGCAGCGCCGCCTCTCGGCGAACGCCGCGACTCGCGGGATTCGAAGTTTCCCGCCCGTTGCCTCGACGATCGAGCA